ACTATGTCGATGTCCGCGTATAAATTGTAGAGCTCGTGGTTCATTCGAGGCCGATATTCACCGTCGACGCAGATCGGCCCGTAGATCTTTCGGAGAATTTTTCTCTCAAACACCCCAAGCGCTGCCTCATCTGCTTGCGCAAGTACCCATGCTTCTGATCCATATAATAGCACGGGTAGTATCAGCGTCCTGTAAAGTGTGAGTTTGGTCTGGCGAGAGGTGGCCTTGTTTCTAAACTGCTTACTTAGACCATAGTAGCATCTGTTGGCCATCACAATCCTTCTCCGAATTTCAAAACTGATATTATTCGTTTTATTTATGGCGGTACCAAGGTATATAAAGTCTTTAACTACCTCGAAGCTGTAGTTCTCAAGTTCCACAGTTGGTCCGAGTCTACTGGACGTCTTGCGCGTTGATACCATCAGCTTGGTCTTCTCGCCGTTTACTGCCAGACCCACTTTGGCAGACTCCTTTTCACGTTTCCAATATTGATAGTATTTTGTGCGATTTTCGGAATTTTTGAGTTCCTAGCCATATTGTAATTTGGTATTTCGGGTTCTCGAAGGATAAAAAACCTCGACATGGCAACCACATTAGGGTTCTTCCCATCGATTTTGGGCGTTGTGTGGTTATAACCGCATTTTCTAAACTAAGTTTCAGCAGATTGTAATTTCAGTTTTTCATAGAAGAAAAATGTATCGGCCGTATAGACTATAAAAGTTCTCGATTGACTTTCGGTATTTATAAGGCCCTAGCCTTATATTTTAGCCGAGATACGTGACTCTTAGATGGAAGATAATTTTAAATTTAGGCTCTTGTATTTTTAACTAAATCTTTTTTCAAAATGTCCTTAATATAATTTTATTTATTTTTATTAATGAATATATTTTAAATGTTTTCCATATTAAAAAATATTATTCCCCCGTAAAACAAATACCTGGTGTAAAAATTCTTAGAAAATTCCCTTTTTTTTCATACAAAAGATAAAAATTTAAAATATTTATTTTGCCGAAGAATAGTCCTAAGAGGAGGGAGGGAGGTTATCCAACTGACCCCTTAAAAAATCATAATGCCTTCATTGTCATAACCACACAAACCCACAAACTACATAATTATGGCCAAGTGTCCCTCTCTCTCTCTTAAGTGAGTTTAATAACCTTTTTTGTTGTTGGACTTTTCACTCCCAAAAACAAGGCTAAACCAGAAACATGTTGTATAAAATTGTATGGCGTTGGATGGCTGTCTTGGTTGTCTGTCTGTTGGACTGTTGTTAAGCCGGCTGGTGCTGGCTGTTACTCTAGAACAACACCACTTGAAATGGGTTCACCAAAAGAAAAAATGAAAAGAAAATTTAAATAAACATTCATTACCCAAGAATTGTTTTAACCAACAAGAAAAGGTGAAGAAAAAACAACACCAGCAGTCTCTTAATGAAAATAAAGCCAGGTTTTTGGTTCACTGCTGTTGGCTAGAACAACATAAGCATTTTTTTGTTTCAAATAATATTTATTTAGCCATGGTTAAGATATTTTTTCATCAACAATATCAGATGGTAACAATCTCTAAAACCAAATGGTCATAAGATAATATCATCGGTCACAGGCCAATGGAAAATGGGGTCTACTGTTTAAAGGAAAAATGGAAAACAGGTTTATTTCAGCCTTGCCGAACTTTTATATTAGGCATTAAAAATAGTAATTTTAAAATTTAAATGTTTTGTTAATAAATAACTATTTTTGAATAACATTTATTTAACATTATTTTTAACACGATTGCGCCAAATTAGTTAATATGGGTTCTTTGTTGATTTCATAGGGGGTTCTCTTCGGGTTCCAAAAGGCCTCATTTCTATAGAAGTTCTTTTTTTATACTATACTGGACCTTCTTAGAGATATATTCCCCTCTTTGAATTTTTTATGGATGTAGAAGAGGTTTTGAAGCGTCTTATTTCCAATGAAGGTCTTTCGAACTTCGTATAACTTTTTGAAAATTCTAGAGGTCTCTTTGAAAATGTTTCATCTACAGAAGGCCTTTTCAATGAAGTTTTGTCTATAGATGTTCTCTAGAAGTACAAGGCGTTATCAAAAGACAACCATTTAAAAATGTTTTTAAAGGTCTTGGTTTCAACGAAGTATTTGGAAGGGGCTTTTGTTCATCGAATACCCTCTGAAGCGTCTTCTGGCCATTGAAAGTATTCTAAGAGTCATCTATCCTTTTGAAAGGTCATACAAAAAATTTTGAAGGGTCTTCTGGCTATAGCAGACCCTATGAAGGCGTTTCTGACCATAGAAGTTTATTTGACAGATATTTCAGCCATAGAAGTCATTTTGAAAGGTACCCTTTGAAAATTACTTTATCTACAGAATACATTTTCAATGAACTTCTGCCTATAGAAGTTCTTTAGAAGTAAATGTGTTGGTTCCAACGAAAATCTTTTAAAGGGGAAGTTTGTCCTGAAAAAAATCTTTTTAAAGAACCTTCTGTCCAAGGAAGACGTTTTGAAAGACATATATTCTTCTGAAAGGTCTTAGAAGACTTTGGAAGGTTATTCTTTCATATAAGACCTTTTGACGAATCTTCTGGCAGACCTTTGTGAAGGGGTTTCTGTTCATTGAAGTTCATTTGAAGGGTCTTTTGGCCATAGAAGGTCTAAAGGTTGTTTTGAAAATTCTTCAATCTACAAAAAACATTTTAAATTTCTTAGAAGACATTTTGAAAGGGTTTTGAGGCCATAGCAGGCCTTTTGAGGGATTTCCTGGCTATATAAGTTCATCTGAAGGGTCTTCTGGCCATAGAAGGCATTTGAAAGGTTTGGAGAACACCACATACAGACACCTTTTCAATTAACTTTAGTCTATAATAGTTCTTTAGAAGTAAATGTCTTGGTTCCAATGAAGATCTTTCAAAGGGAAGTTTGCAATATAAAGCTGTATATGGTATTTATATCGAAATAATTTGGAAAATACATATGAGAATTTTATAACACAATGTAGAGATAGGTAAGAGTGTCAACAATAAAGAAACACTGGATTGCAAAACTAAACACAATCTCGTGAGTGGAGAGAAATTAAAAGGACTACAGGATTTCTAAAGGCTTCCTACACTTTCAATTTTTTTAATAAAAGACCCATAAAGATCAATTCTGTCTATAGAATGCAATTTAAGAGCTACTTTATATAAACCTGATTCAAAAGGTCCTGAGCTTATTTGAAGATCTTGTATAAATAAAAGTGACTGTGTAGAAACCTCTTCGAAGGGTTTCTATGGTATTAAGGTGTTATTATTATTTTTATTCAGTTATATAGGATCTTTTGACGGGTCTTCTGAGCCTTGGAGACCCTTTGACGGGGTTCCAGATCTTAACAGGTAATTTGACGCGTCTTTTGGCCATATAAGGCTGAAGGTAGCTTTGAAAACTCTTTAATCTACCGAAGACATTTTCAATGAACTTCTGCCTATAAAAGTTCTTCAGAAATACATATCTATGTTCCAGCGAAGCTCTTTTAATGGGAAGTCTGTCCACAGAAAACCCTTTACAATGGATAGAAAGCCCCTATCCATAGACGACGTCTGAGAAGTCATCTATCCGTTTTGAAAGGTACTCTGTCATATAAAATCTTTTGACAGTTCTTCTGGCCACATAAGGCCATTTGAAGGCTCTTCTGGTCATGGAATGCATTTTGAAAGGTTCGGAGGACCCTTCATCCATTGAAAGACCTTTTAAATTTAATTCTGTCCATAGAAGTTGTTTATAAAATAAATGTTTTCCATATAAAGTTGTTCTTCTTTCTATGTTAAACCTTCATCCACTAAATGCGGAACTATATTTTCTCCATCAAATAAAAAAATCCCTAATTACATGTAAAATACTCAATATAAAGAACTAAACACCTCAGCACCCGTCTGTATTTTTCAATATTTCATAACCAATTTTTTTCCAACTGCTAATCTTTTCTAAATACCTTTGGGAGAAACCTAGGTAAAAGTTTTTTTTTCTTTTTTTTTTTTTTTTTCAAAAAAAATATTTTTTCTATGATTAATGATGGTCATTAATTTGATGTTATTCATTGTCATTATTTATTTCAGTACATTATGAATTTAGTTTTTTTGTTTTATTATTTTGCCACCACAACCTCTCATAATAATTTACTGAACTTCTATTTGTTCTTAAAATATTTTTTTGTTTTGTTTGTTTTCGCATTTCAACGGAATTCTAACTATCTGGAGATTTGCAAGGTGGTCGTTTGTGACTTTGACTAATCGACAATAATTAATAATTTCTGTTACTTTTTTTTTCATAGAACAAATATTGATTGTTGTTAAATATTTCATATAATAACAGCTACTGTTTGTATTTATTTCTTTTGCTTCTTCCCATAACTCCCCCGGGCCATGACGTGGGCAAAAATTTGAAAATGTAATTCACCTTTTTTGGGGAATTCAAAAATTTGAAACACCTTTTCTCTATGCTTTAATTTTAAATATTACAAATATTTTGGTATTAAAATAAAGAACGAAAATAAATAAATATTGAAAATATGTTTCCCTCTCTCTGCTCCCTCGCTACAAATTGATCACTCTCTGGGGTATTCCATTTACCACCAACCTCTACTACTTCTCGTTTTTTTCTCTTTTTGGTTAAAAGTCTGTCAATCAAAATATTTATGCATTTTGTGCATTGTTCCCTCTTCGTCTTTTGTATTGTTTACTTTCTTGTGAATTTTTTCGATTTTTCTGTTTGATTCTTCATCTGCTTGATTTTTAACTCTTTCTGTGGTCCAGTCTCTGTCAAAGGCCGGCCACACTTTAAAACAAAATTCCAATACCATGGCCAGTTTTTTTTCAGGAATTTTGTCGGCTCTTAACAACAAGGATTTCTTTTGTCTGTTTGTGTGTGTCTGATTTTTTGCCTTTTACAAATCCTTTTTATCTTGATTTTTGTGTATTTTAATTGATTTTCGTCATAATTTTTTTGTTTTTCTTCCTCTTCTCCTTTTTAGGTGAATACATTCGTTTACCACTGGATGATATACTTAACGACGTTATACAATTTGCTGAATTGGCTGGCGGTGAATCGAACGAGGTAAGTGGAAAGAGGATTTCAAATCTTAAAATTTAAATGGATTTCAATTTATAAAATTTTGAGAGGAATTAAAAAACTACTATAGGAGACTTTTTATATAGGAGACTTTTAAAGAAATAATTTCCGAATATTTAAAAAAAATCTCTATTGAATACATTTTTAAGGGTTTTCTGACCAAAGAAAATTTTTTTGAAAACTCTGAAGGTCTCTTTGTTTCATTTTCAGAAGGACATTTTGAATGGTCGTTTAGCCATAGAAGGCATTTTGAAAGATCCTGGAGTATACCTTGAAAATCCTTTCATATACAGAAGACATTTTCAATGAATTTCTGCCTATAGAAGTTCTTCAGAAGTAAATGTCTGAATTCCAATAAAAATCTTTTAAATGGAAATTTTGTCCAGAATTATTTCTTTAAATGACCTTTTAGTCCATAGAAGGTGTTGTGTAAATTCATATATCCTCATATATGGGAAAACTTTTTTTTATAGGGTGACTTTTGATATGGAATAATATTTTTTCGTTTATAGAAGACATTTTCAAAGGTCCTCTGTCTATAGAAGACCTTGCGAATATCTCCACCTTTTTCAAGATCTCCACCTATCTATAAATGTTACCTGTGCTCCATTTTTTTAAAATAATGAAGACCTTTTAGCGACAATGGTCTTGGAAATATCTTTGAAGAGAGAAGGCATCTATGTTAGGGATACAATTCGAAAATGTGTATATTTTTAGAAAGCCCAATGCAAGGCTTTATGTCTATCGGACACCTTTTAAAGGGTTTTGTTTCCATAGAATACATTGTCGTTGTTATAAGACGTCTAGAAATTCAATTTTCTATAGCTAACCCCATTTCGATGTATATATAGGCTATCGAAGTCCTCCTGAAATATATTATTACTATAGAATATTTTCAGAAGGGTCTTAGGAACACCTAATTTGTCGACTTTTGTATCAACACTTGCTTGACATTTGGTATTTGGCATTTATATCGAAATCATTTGGAAAATACATATGCGAATTTTGTAACACCATAGAGTGTATTCAAAATGGTCTTAGGAAAACCATAGTTGAAGACTTTTGTGTGTACAATTTTTGAACCCCTTGACTCTATGTGGTCGTTATGCAAAGAAGGCCCACTAACATATATATTCGATTTCGATATAAAGACCCTTTCAATAGGGATCGTTCTGTAAGAACCCCTTAAAAGAATGTCTCTTCAGTAAAAATCCCAAGTAACCAGTTTTTCCTCGTATAGTGATTTAGTGTAAAGAAAAATTCCTTTAAATTTGTATTGATAGGAGTCAAGAATAAGTTTGCTCTATAAATAGAGGACTCTTTCATAGGCGTACTATAAGTATGACGAGCCTTATTAGGCCTTCCAACGCCAAAGGAGAATTTTTTTCAAAGAAGACCAGTAATGAAAAACCATTCCAAAAGCCTTTTAAACAGAAACATTTTCTCCGAGGAACCCTCCATCAACAGAAGAAACTTGAAAAGTTCCGTTCACGATAAAGTAACGCTTTCAGAATTTGTCGTTCTATTTTTAGAACCTTTTAGAAAGCCGGTTATGTAGAGAAGAAAATAATATCTCCACTTAGATATTATTTTCTAAATCTTCTAAAACTTTACGATGATTTTATATCTAACTCACAAAGAATGCTTTTGTCCTTTAAAAGCATTCTTTGTATGTTATTTGGTCTAGAAAAACCACTCGAAAGATCGTCAATAATGGTAGACCCTTCCCAGGGGCTTTTACATAGAAACAAGCCATTGAGATCCTTATCTTCTTTCTCTTTTCCAGCAATATTTGATTCATATGACGACCTCTAGAGTCAGTTTCTATTAATTTCATTAAAATTCATACCAAAAAAAAAATCATATATTTTATGAATAGGTTCAGGAAGTGCTGCCAATGTCCAGATTTCTGCATTTTATGACTGAAATTCATAAAAATGTAAATTCTGGTTTCATGTCAGAGAGAAAATATAATATAATATTCTTGTCTTGTGTCATTGTTAATTGACATATTGTATTTTACATATATATCGAAATCATTTGGAAAATGCATATGCGAATTTTGTAACACCAATGCCGTTGCTAACAACCGCCGACTTTCCACTGACTCTATTGCAACTAGTTTTGCATTCCATTGCTTCTTTATTTCAGTCACTCTTGCCGATCTCTACATTGGTGTTACAAAATTCGCATATGTATTTTCCAAATTATTTCGATATAAATGCCAAATACAATCCATGATGTATATGTTGATACGAACAACAAACCCAACCGAATTGACGGAGGCGGAGAACGATATTAAAATAAAACAATGAATGGTTGTTGTGGTGCTGTTTTTTTCTTTTTTTTTCATTGGAAGAATACATTTGTTTTGTCAAAAAAAGAGAGGGAAAGAGATAGGAAAAATGAGCACAAATAGTGGTAAGGTAGAGCGAAGTAGGAAAATAGTTGTGATATTAATGAAATGTTTACATATTGTTGGTAAAAATAGTGGCTTTTTCATGATTACAAGACTTTTTACTTGTATTCAAAGAGACTACAAGATTTTCTACATTGAGTGTCCAGTTAATAGGGATATAGGAGAACCTTCGAAAGATTCTAAGGCTGATTGAAGATTATTTCATATAATTTTTCTCTATTTCTTTCTGAGTTACAAGACCCTTTGAAATATCTGCTGTTATTTAAAGTTTTTTTGAGATGCTTATATTTCAAATTAAAAAATAAAAAAGAATTTTTGAACTAAATAAAAACAAATTAAGCAATTTCTAATTCCAAAAAAAAATAAAAATTCTCCCCTCATCTTCTTTTAGGACGATACAACTGGTGCCAGTACCTCAAAAGCTGCTGCTGCTGCCGCAGCTGCTGCCAACAGCAATAAGAAACTATTGAAAACCGATCAAGAAGACGACAACAAGAACGATACGGATAACACTTCCACCCAAATTGAATTGAAAAGTGAACGTGATTATCTTACGGACGATTTAGGTGACATCATACAATCCGCTGATATCGGCACGAAAAAACAACTATCCCAGGATAATAATTTTGTAAAGAGTATTGGCAAAGGTTGTGGTGAAGATAAGGAGGAAGAAGACGACGACTCCACTAGTTCCAATTCTAGCAACGGCGATAACGAAGAAAACGACGACGACGACGATCTACCACAATCTGAGATCGAAGTCAGTTCTTTGCCATCACCACTGTTCGACTTAGATGACGAAGCAAAAGAAGAATTAGCCGATCTAAGTATGATGTTACATTCGTCCGCACCCTTTGCACCGCACCATCATCATCCACATGCCGGTCATCCGCATCATCGCGCTAGTGCGGGTGCTATGGGTGCCCAGAATTATGGCAGTGTAAATAGTGCATTCCATCGTCAGCCGAGTTCGGGTGGGTTTCATCATGGTCATCATCAGGTAAGGAGGAACATGATTTTTATTAACTTTTTTGGGAAAGTGAGGGGTATTTAGCTTTAATGAGGAAAGATTTCAGAGTAAGCATTAAACCGATGCAGGTGTAGATTTTACAGATCCTTTATAAAATTCTTTCTTATGTGGACTTTTTCAGACGCAATTCTAATTCACTATAATTCTATTGCATTCACTTATTGACGTTTTTATAAATTTTATTTTTTATTTAAAAAAAATAAATCCTCTACAAAATTTTGCGGTTTGTTGTTGCTTTCTGGGAATTCTCATCAATTGTTCGAAACGTTACTTTTTTCCCCTCCACTACTGGCCCATAAGTGAACAGAAAAATAAAAATCATTAGTGTTAATATACATACATTAATTGAATTACTTTCATTAAGTGTTTTTGTGTTTTTCGCTGCGATTTTTGTGTAACCCCACAAAAAAGTACTGCCAACATCCAGACAAAGTGCAAAAAACGGCAGCAAATCTCAACACAACAAAAAATTGAAATTATTAATTATCATAAAGTTTCTTTCATTCATTCATTGAAAAAGTTCCCCTCTTTTTTGTCTTATATAAATATTAACAAAAAATTGGTCAGACAGTCTAGCAGTCAGCCAATCGACCGTTCCCCGTGCGGTTCGTCGATCTATGAAAATGAATGTCTGCCTGCCTGTCATTCAAACATCTCCTCTCTCTGCAAAGTGTTGAATGGTAATGGTATTAAACGGCAGTTAAATAAAACTTGGCTTAAATGCTAAATCCTCTGCAGTTTATGAACAACTACAAAAACATTAAATTGACATTTAATTACAAAGCTTTGCAGCCACACTACCTCCATACATGAACTCGCTGCACATTTTGCACTTGGAGTAGACGAACAGCATCAGCTCACCTGGTGTACTATATTGCCCCCGATTGTGAAGGGATAAATATGTTTGTCAGACAGACAGGCGGACAGACATTCAATCAGTGAGTCTCTGGTGTACGGTTGTCACATCAGTAGTTTTATTATTTCTTTTTTTATTTCTTTGTTCGGATTGTTGCATTTTTTCGCAAACTCCAGACAAGGAAAAGGGGAGGTGTTGCTAAAACTATGCAATTAATGTAAAAATGCCACTGCAAAACGATTTGTTATTGTTGTTGTTGTTGTTTTTCCAAAGGCTAAATATAGTAGTGATTAAAAACTCTATAAAAAAAGTTGAGGAAGGAATTTTGAAAGGCTAAGCTAAATCGCAATTTCATAAAAAGCTAAATAGGGTTTGTAGAGAATGTCAATTTTTAGCATCGGTTTAAAAAATTTTTAAATCTACCATTTCCATAGGAAATTGACGCAATTTTAACATAAACGTACCCATTATGATTTGCCGTACGATCGATCATGTGTTGAGTTGTTTGCAGTGACATTAAAAATCAATTTTCCAAAAAAAAGATATAACTCGTGAAAAGTTTCGTGCGACCATTTTTTTACAATTTTCAACGAGAATTGTCACAACGAATGCGAATGTCACAACGAATGCGCATCGACGAAAGGGATTGACGACGACTGTTGTGTTGTTGGCACTGACATCTTAAATCAATTTGTCCCAAACTGCATTTAACTCGTGAACATTTTCGTACGACCTTTTTTCACAACATTCGATGTGAATTATAATCTGACATTTCTATGGAAATCTTTGACAGTTTTTCTTTTAGCATATCGTAGTCAGTACGATTTGACGACGTACGATCATGTGTTGTGTTTTTTCCAGTGATTTGAAAAAATAATTTATTTTTTTTGAATATAAATGTTCTCAGTACGATTTGACAACGTAGGACCATGTGTTGTGTTATTCACATCGACTTGAAAAATCAGCATACCAAAAATATGTTGATCATTATACCCTACACAACTATGTTGTATTATAGCTTTGTGCAGCCCCAATAGTTGGTAACGCCGCGAAATATTGATCCCAAGTACACCGATCGTCATATTTCAATCTAGACATGTGTGTTCGTCCGTGCGTCTTTCCATTATAATTTTTAAACACGATACAGGCCACAGTTCTGGACCAATCTTCGAAATATTGCATGTAAGACCGGTTCTGGCCAATTAAGACCCCGAATGTTTTTTTGTAAAGATCTATTAATATTTAGGAGTTGAAATACTTAATTTTTATGGTCGCTCCAAAGGCCGCAATTATGGCACGAACACGGAGAAGGTCAACGACGATGCCTATCATTTTCGGTGATGTTGAGATTATATTTAGGGGGTGCCACTTTATTTTTGTCAGATTTTCTAGTCGCTCTAGAGGCGATTATTATATGCAGAACGTCACATATTTACACGATGAACGGTAAAATATTCCGAAGATAACATCAATCAAACCCAAAAGTAACTGTTTAAGTTCGATACATTGCTTACGGCAATGTATATGTTCGATACATTGTTTCCCCTTCTACAGCATTACAATTAACCACTTTAATTGTCCGCTCTTCGGAGCCCAATGGGGAAATCTTCTCTGCATATCTTCCAGGAGCCTCATTCGCCTAGTTCGGATTGTAAGGGAGAGTTTCGCTCTCTTCTACTATATCACCTGGAAGCCACATTCGCTTAGTTCGGCGCTTTCCAATGCTGTGGTCGTAGTTGTTTATCACGGCCTTGCTGTAGCTTTCTTGCCCATTGCAACTTCACTTGCTTACCCGCTTTCGTAGAGTAAACACTTGCATTCTCGCTATCGTTGGTTAAACTTGCAATCTCACTCTCGTCGGTTACACTTGCCCGCTTTCGTAGAATAAACATCTCTCGCTATCGTCGTTAACGCACGCATAAGGTAAAGTCTTGTTTCTAACGAAACCCATATACTTTGCAATAAAGATTGAAAATATTTACAAAACTCTATTTCGTTTTTCTTTTCTTTATTTTTTGGGTTTCACTGCTACACGGTATTACGCCAACAGTGACATTTTTTCTGATGGCATATCTATTCACAAGACGAAAACAAAACACGATTTGGAAAATATGTTGATAGGCGGAGCTGTTGACCTATAATCTGTCAAGTGGGCGAAATATTGTCCAGTCTCAAAATATAGAAACACAGAAAAATAGATTTTTCTGGTAGTTGTCGGCCCCGTCCGACTATACTGCCTTATAATTTTTCACCACATTTGACGTAAGTTATCACGACAAGAGTGAATCAATGAATCGGAGCTCGCTCATAGGCCTAAATGCCCTAAAGTCGTCCAAAACTGAACTAATAATTCTTGGAAGTGTGTAAAATGTAATAAATATATCTAACATCATTTATTTCAGTATATAAAGTTATATTCAAGAATACATTACGGACTATTCCTAATCCTGACAAAAAACAATTTTGGATTTTTTGTTTTTTTTTTTTTTTTTTGATGTAGGTGTTCTATGGCACAGAAACTGTTTGTCGTTTTAATTATTCTACTTAGATTTTTATGTTTTTTTCTTCATTGTTATGTCTTGTCTCGTTCCTTCTATTTAGCATTTATATCGAAATAATTTGGAAAATACATATGCGAATTTTGCACCACCAAATGCAGAAGAAATAAAGAAGCAATGGAATGCAAAATTAGTCTCAATCGCATGAGAAGAAAGACGGCGGTTATGAGCAACCGAAAAAGTAGTCAAATAAACGATTGGAAAAATAACAACCACAAGTAAGGCGAGAGACGGAGGACGATACCAAAACAAAACACCACCGAACAATAAATAGTGGTTGTGGTGGTGTTGTTTTTTCTTGGGGAGAATACATTTGTTTTTGTCAAAAAAGAGAGAGAGAGGAAAATGAGCGTTAATATTGACAAAGTAGGAAAACAGTTGTAATATTAATGAAATGTTTACATATTTTTGATAAAAATTGTGGCTTTCTCATGATTATAAGATTTTTTTACGTGTAATCTAAGTCACGTAAAAATATGAAATTATTCGTAAAAATATTTTCTGTGTACGAGAGAGGTTGGAGGGAGAGGAAAAAATGAGCGCAAATAGTGGTTGTGGTTTTAATGAAATGTTTAAATTTTTTGGAAAAAATCGTGGCTTTCTCATGATGATATACATTTTTTATTTGCATTCTATGCCATGCACATGTACAATATGGAAAATAACTATGAATGAAATTATGAAAATATTCATTTAATGTTTTCTCTGGGGTTGGGGTTGGCCTGATGACTTTGCTCTTCGTAATTAATTTCGGCTTAGTCAAAATATAACAATGTTAAACGTGTGTGTTCATTCGGTTTCTCACCCTTCACATGTTCAAAAATTTTGAGTCGATTTTCTTATTTTGTATTTTTATATTAAAAATCGATTGGCGACTAAACTGCATGAGCATTTGTTATCTCATAAATGTTTGGATTTTATAAAAATCTCTTAATAAATTAAATATGGTTTATACCAAATTTCTGTGATTTTAGATTTTTTCATAATTTCTAGTTCATAATTAAATAATATCTGTTATAATTTAATACTCAAATGTTATTTTAGAAAAATGTCGAATTTTAATTTTTGCATTCGATATCCCTGAACACATGAACACAAAAACTCAATTTCCTAATATTAACTGTATTTTCTGAAAACTTTTCTAAAATTCCGATTCCGTTATTTTCTTTATCACCCAATCCACGGCGCCTTTTGATCCTTTCTCCAGTTTGCGAAATTCTCAAAATTCATCAATCTCACACACAAATTTTGCCGCCATTCATCATTACCGACAAACTCTCTCTCTAACGGCAATAACTGTAAAAAGCAACAACACATTGGGATTTGCAAAGAAAACAATGGTGATGATGACTTTCTGTTTAAAACTAAGACAAGGATAAACTATCATTAAAAGGATTTTTGTCTCTGTTAAATTTTTGCGAAATTGCATTAATCACAGGTTTTGAATCTGTGAACACACACAAACACTCGTACACATGTTAAGCCGCCAAAATTTCCCTGGGACAAGTTCCGCTTTGATGTTTAGACGACGAACAGAACAGAAAAAGTCACGACAA